TGGCCCAAGGCACGCTCCGCGGCCCGGAGCCTCTCCGAGGGGCAGCAGGGACACAAGTCGAGAGCTGCTGGGGTGACCAGCGGATCTCTGCAGAGCTCCCGGCCTGCAGAGAAACTGGGGGGCTGCACAAAAACACCCAGCACCCTGGAGCGAGGCATCCCCATCCTGAGCCACAGCTCGGAGCCCCCCCCCGGCCACCCTCACCTGCAAAACCCATTTGGTTTTCTTCCTTCTGCGATTCAGATTGCCCACAGATTAAAATAGCAGCTGAGGAGGGCTATGAAGATTTATGATGCAGGTTTAGGCAAAAAAATTAATAGGGCACAACAAAACAAGGAGCATCAGGCAAGAAACTCCTCCATCTGCCATGCGGGAGCAAGCTGCTGCTCACGCTCGATACGCCCGGGCCGGGCTCCGCGCTGCAAAAGCGGTGTTCGAGGGAGCAGCGCCCTCGGATTTACTGCGGGAAGTAGATGCTACCGAGCGTAACACGAGGGCTGTTCTTTTCTTATTTGTACTAGACCCTCATCATGTCTTACGACATGATCAGAGCGGCTTAATTTCCATTTCACACCAAATTAGCTCACTTTACAAGTCTCTTACGCCGCCTGCTTCAATCCGGTATTGGAGGAGAGGGAGAAGTCAAGTTTATGACCTGTTCTCTGAATTCACACCCCGCAGATGGGAGTTGTGCTTGTTCTCCCGCTGGTTACGATCAAGACAGAGCTCTGCCTGCCTGCAGCCACACTGCTGAGAGGTGACTTTAATTTATTATTAATCCTAATCCATTTAAATTTACATAGCGCCTTTCATGCAGGGGCATCCCAAAGCATCCCCCATCCCCGTGGGCTATAAGACGAGATCCCTTTATCTCGCTGAAGCACGGGCATTTCTGGGATGCGGCGCTGGGGAGGAGCACTGTAAGAGCAACAGTTTTGTTCAGAAGACAAATGGATCCGGCCGAAAAGGAGGAGCGGCAAAGTGGCCGTACGTGGGAAATGTGGAAGCAAACAGGAGCGATCCAGATCCGAAACACAAAGCTGTAGAGGAACTGCAGGTGACCCTGTTTCTGGCACTGACCCGAGTGGCTTTGCTGCAGCACCCAAAGGAGCTCGGCAACACCACAGACCCCCAAATCCACCCGGGGACAGCCCTGGCTGACGGGCTGGGGCTCAAGGTGCCAGGGAGCTCTCCTGAGAGGACTGAGGAACAGTTAAAGCTCCTCAATAACCGACCAAACGAACAACCTGGTCTCGGAGCAAGGCCTGCTGGCAGAGGAGACACACAGAAATTTTATTTCCGTCTGTTTTACACAGCTCAGCTGAACTCCTGAAGGCAAACAGAGGCCTGATGAACAGAGCCCGAGGTCAGAGCCTAAAGCCACCCGTCCTTCCCCAGGGTCTGGAAGAGGAGCCACGAGCCCAGGGTGACTCAGGCGAGCCCACAGCACGGGGTCGGGGTGGCTATTCGCAGAGCATGACTCAGGCCGTCGGCACGTGCCCGGCTGTTTGGGACTTTAGGTAACGGGGTAAGAAAAGACACTTCCAGCCCTCGCTGCCCAACCCCTCCTGCTCTGAGGTCCACGCAACTGAATGGCGAGACACGGATTTTGTTACGAGTTTGGACTTTTTAGACAGTTCTGGTAAGACTGAGAGCAGCAACGAGCAGGGAGGAAGGGGCTGGTGGGGCATCGCCGACACACATCCCAACGCCGGGGCCAGGGCGCGTTTCTAGCATCCTTCTTTTCCTGTGAGCAAATCTCTGGCAGGTCTCAACCCCAGCAATGTCAACAGTCTCCTCAAAATTTGCCAAGTTCCTGAAGGTTCCCCGAGGAAGATCAGCCGGCCTTTTTGCGAGGCAGTAAGTGAAGATGCCTTCACGTAGCGCGCCCGGAGCCAAGGCTGAAAACCTCTTCATGGCTACGGTTAAAAACGTAAAAAGCAAGACAGCAAGACTCACCTCTGCAAACTGTGTGGATGGGCTGTCGTCTATGCCGCTGCCATCTAGAAAACTGGAGAGAAACAGGCGAGTGAGAGCAGGTCACCCTGCCAGAGACCAGCTCCCCTTCTGGGGTTAAACACAGACGGGAGCTCGCGTGAGCAAGACGGTCCCCGTGTGGTCTCAGAGAGAACGGATGGGCAAACAGAGCCTGCTCTGTGAACACAGCGGAGTAATTCCTAGGGACAGAAAAGGCCCATTAAAGTTAAAAGGTTTGTTTATGTGCCAGCACGCTACACGCAACCTGACCGTGGCGAAGAAACCCATTTCTAACTATCCGGGCTCTAGAAAAGCCTCCTACGAGGAGGCATTTGAGATGGAGCATCGTCACTCCGCAAATGGGATCGCGTGCCCAGCGCCCCGAGGACCCCTCCAGTCTTGCCTTAAGCAAGTACGCGCTTATATTTAAGAGGAGGACGTAGTGTGACATTAAGTCCTCTCCTCAGCGACACCCAGCCCCGGAGTCCTGCTCTGGCAGGTTCACGTGCGTCCTTTCGTCTTGCCTACCCCCAACCCAAACAAAGCAGTTTTCTCAGCAGTTACTCAAGACTGAATATATTAAGTGCTGAGCAGATATAATTTTGGATCTAATTTGCCAGCAGCGTGTTCTGCTGGGCGACCAACGACCAAATCCTAGAGAGAAAAGGCGTTTCTTTCTCTCTTGGCCCGAGCTGTGAGATTGGAGAAGCGGTCAGGAGGCTGAGCTGGGGCCAACAGAGGAAAAAAGAAAGATACTGCGTGTCGCTGCGATTCAAGCTTGATTCCTAAAAAAAAAAATAATGCTTTTTGCTCTAACAGACCAAAGAAACAGGGGTCAAAAACCTGTACGCGCTTTTGTTCGCAGGACCTTGTACAGCCTTAATTCACAGCTCCCATCTTCTTGGAAGTCCTCGCCAAGCCCCTCCGCGTGGCTCTAGCACGAGACCGACGGCCGCTCGTATTTTCAGTCTCATCTGGTATCAAGTCCGAATTCACGCTCATGTATAAGCTTTTCTTTCGCCTTCCTTATTTTATCCTTTTGTCCAGAGTTTTTAGAGGCTTTACACCAGGCATCTCACAAACCCAGAAGAAACGTAAGCACGCGGTAAAACAAGCAGCGTTTCGACGCGTACGTTACCTGGAATCATCTGTGACTTCTTCAATAAAGCCAGATTCACATCTCGGGCACGTGTATTCCTGTAAAGACAGAGCACACTGGATTTAGCCACCAAGCGCTCGCCTTGCCGTTTCAGGAAAAAGAGGGAGCTCGAGAAGTTACACGCCAGGAGCCGAACACGGATCCCTGAGCTCCACCTCCCCGTAACGGCACTCCGGAAGAGCCGCGTTTCGGCTTCGTTAAGAGGATTTCAAAGCCCAGTGGTTACAGCAGGTATTATTGACCTCAACTGACAATTGTGGAACAGAAAAACGCCCTTATCAAGACCACGCACGGTTAGTGGCGGCCCAAAGAAAAATAAATTTAAAAACACCACCACACCTACAGCCTCAAGCCCGCCCTGACAGTGACGTTTAAGAAAAAAGCCATTTACAAGCAAAGCTCCAGGAGCTCTGCGAAGCGACCTCGGACAAGGCCGGTTCCCAGCCCCGGGGACGGAAAGCAAGTCACGTCACTTAAACCGGCGCTGGAAAGCCGGCGAGCTGCTGGGGATGCCGCTCCGATGCGGAGCTGGACTTGCTGCTGCTCGCAGCGCGGGGAGGACGGCTCTCGCAGGGAACTTACAGAGACGCTCTGCAATTATCAGAGTTAGAGAATAAGTATTTTTTAACTTTTTTCCCCCCCAAGCCATTTGCATAAAGAGGGGCTCCATACGTAAGCCGGGCTTGCCGGCTGTTGGCCACCGGTACCA